GATAAATACAATATCCTGTCAGTGAGATGGAGTAATTTCCTCAACAGATCAAGCTTTGTCACCAACATACCACACAGAAGAGCTAAACCAATACCAGGACACCGGAACTCCATCTTTACACTGAAAAAAAACCCATTAAAATATATATATTTTTGTTAAATTAACTTAATGTAAAAATCTTTTTCTTGAAGTTTGGACAAAGGACAAAGGCTATCCGGCTGTATCCTAGTGGATACGTGCGGAAATACGACCCAAAGCTCCTGTACTTCTTTGGGCGTAAGGAAGTAATGGGATTTCACTTGCTGGGCGTTTTACAGCGCGTCGATCAGCGCTGTAAAACGCCCAGGTGTAAACCCGGCCTTAATGGCTCTAAAATTATTGCTCTCACTCCAACGTTTGCGGCGATATGTAACATGTGCAGCACAATAGGCACAATTGTCTTCGCACGTAGGCGCACGCATTTCTGTGTGTGTATGTGGGGGGCGGGGACTTAAAAAAATTTCTTTTTACATTCTTTTTATGCTTCGTTATTTTTCTAAATGATTCTTTAATTTTTGTATTACTTTTTTATTTTACACACAACTTTATTGCTATTACATGGGGAGGCTAAGAAGCCCCCTATGGGATAGCCAATTTACGTGACAGGTTTCATCAGCTTCTGTAGCTGGAGAGTGACACTGAATGCAGGAAGTGATGTAATATACATCACTTCCTGCATTCGGGGACTGAGAGGAGATCAAAGGGAGTTCGTATACTAAACTCCCTTTGATCTCCTGTCACAGAGCCGTGCCGGTCCCGGCCGCATCGGGCACAGCGGATCTCGGCAACGGCAGTGATAGCTGCTGATACAAGCAATCGAGCGTCTATAGAGACGCTCAATCGTTTGACTGTAAAGCTCCCGGGCGGCCGTGTAATTACAAAGGCCGGCCGGGAAGCTGCTCGTCGGGCTCCACCATCCTCTCGTCACAGACGAGTGGACGAGTGGATTTTTCAAGCCCTGGTTATTGCCCTAACATACTTTGACAGTGGGATAGGAGGAGTCAAATAGGGAAATAGGGAGGGTGGGGCTGAATAGAGGTATGGGGACTGGGTGGTGGAGGCAGGTAAAGAGGACATGAGGTTGTGATAGGTATAGATATTGAAAGGATATGAATTTTAAAAAAGCCATCACAGCAACACCTGCTGTCACATAATGATATCTGTAAAATTTTGACGTGAGTGGGAGTGAAGTTTAAGCAATAGTTCTAGCAAAAGACAATGGCTATACTTAGGTTTCAGGTCCCCCACTGTCAGAAGCTGCATACAGTGCGTGCCAGTTACTATTTAAAACCGCGCGCTGTATGCAGACTTTGAGAAGATACGCTATTAGTGTAGTGGGAAAGCCGGCTGCACATTTTGCCTGTCAGAAGCTGCATACAGCGTGCTCTGGTTTAAATAGTAACCGGCTTGTGCTGTATGCAGCTTCTGACAGCATGGGAGACTGGAGCTGCGCTTGTCGGTGGATCCAGGGATCAAGTGAATATAACAAAACATTTTTATTTTTCCTGCTTAAAAGCACGCTTAAAAGCACGTGTATTACGCTCTTTTGTGCAAGGACCGGAGGTAGCTCTGTAGAGTCATGTAGAGTCAAGATAAGTTGATGCTTTCATCGTGGAGATTCTGTTCCAAGCGACCGCCCAGCACAGTATCTGTTTATTTTATATATGTTAAAACAGGAAGTGATGTCAACAGGAAGTGATGTCAAACAGGAAGTGATAACAGATAAGCAGAACATGACTCATCCTTGCCACATGTATGCACAGCCGCCATCTTTCCAGAACCACAAACACAATCTCCCATTACCACTGGAGCGAACTTTATCCAGCACTGCTCAGTGAGCAATGCCCAATAACATTACTATGATTCCTATGAATGGAAGCTTATCAGCAGGGACAATGCCATACTACTTCCAGCGTGCTGATCAGACGCATCAGAAATACAAACGCACGTTCCTTTCAAAAAGGCATTAAATAATGCTATGTCCTCAAAGCAAGTGTATCCACGCCAAGCCAATAAATCCGTGCATCGCGCAGGGGCCCTAGCTGGCGTCCATACACTCGCTAAGAAAACACTGCTCCGCCACGCATAAGATATCTACTCCAATGGTTTACACTCAGTGCTGATTTAATCCGGGTCACGCTCCAATGACAATATTACAACATACTAAAAACACATCCTAGTAAAATTTCCACAACATCGGTATCGAGTACCGATATTTTTTTATGGTACTCGCCGATACCGAATATTGTTACCGAAAGTCCCATTAAGGAAGCCAGGCTGTGTCTAATGACTCGCCACCTGGCTTCCTGATTAGCCGGGAAGCCGGGTGCCATGTAAAGACTCGCTACCCGACTTCACGATTAGCAGGGAAGCCGTCACCAGGTGACGAGGAAGCATGGAGCTGGCTTCCTAGCCAATCAGGAAGCCGGGGGGCGGGTAATGACTCACCCAGGGCCGGATTTCCCACGAGACCAACCAAGACCCGGCCTCAGGGCAGCAGTGAGTAGAGGGGCAGCAGGGGTTTGGAACTCCCGATGCCCGGACGGGTAGTTGTTTTCTATATTTAGCCCTGCTTTTTGAAAGCAGAGCTAAATGTATATTGGGGAAGCTGCCGCTTGTTTTGTACAAGTGATCTCGGCGACATTGTATGCAGCCTGGAGGTCTGACATTCTCCATGGGGGGG